CCCAAAACCCCAAAACCCCAAAACCCCAAAACCCCAAAACCCCAAAACCCCTAAGTGCAGAAATAATTAAAATTAGGAGAATTAAATGTTCCTTAACCATAATTAAACTAAAAATAATTAAACTTGATATAAAAATTAGTTGGATAATGATCTGTGGCAATTTATTAATTTGGGAGATAATCAAACCTTGAGCTAATCATCAAGTTGCTTTTTATAATCGACTAAAATATTGCATTATTCATTATGCTTCTTTTCATTTGCTTAGAATTCTTTAAGTTCTTTCTCACTTATGACTGTTTTAGTATTCAGCCAGGATCTGTAAGTAGTGCCGTCTAAATCTAAGTTACTGAGCAGCAAGTATTTAGGGAAGTTCAAACCTTTGTACTTTTTCTTCTTAATTAGATAGTCAGCTGAGATTGTCTTAATAGTTGCTTCCTATTCAAGTTTATTCTATTTGTCATTATGCATTAGTTACATCAGCTAGCCAAGCTTTTTATTCATCTGCCTTAAAAGTTTGGCGTGAGCAACCCAGAATATCAGTTTATCAGCAAATCTAGCCTCTTTGCTGGTGCATTTCTTAAGTCTTAGGAATAGTTCTTCCATTGCTTTAGGATTGAAATAATCAGCATCTTTCTTCTGATTTTTAAGCACAGATAAAAAGCAGGAGAAATCATCAAAGTTGAATTTTCTAGAGTGTTTGCTATTGCAGCCAATATATATTTCTCTTGAGAGAGTAAAAGCTAAACTTTCTTGCATTGCTAACTCAAAAGGATTCTTTTTCTCAATATTTTAAAGAACTCTAACTGCAATCTTGGCTTTCTTATCGATATCAACAGTATTCAATAGAGCAAATGCAAAATCCATAGGCTTCGATCTAATATCATTGAAGTCCATAAATGTCACATACTAGCCAAGCATAGGCGGAGTCCTCATTATAACTACCTAGCCTATTCGTTTTAGAGGTTAACCTTCTCTGAATAAAGTACAAGCGAGATAGGAGTGATTGGGGAATCTCTTAGATACTGTTTACCTCATCTCATCAGCCTAAATATTTAATTGATCTATTTTTGATTTGAAGCTAATGAATGCCTTTTTAGCATGGATAGCACATGAGGAACCAACTTTATCACTGAATGGTCTTTCTGAAAATCCATATTCCTATGCTAAGAATTCATTTTCATCATTGAATACATGACACTCAGGGTCATATTTAAAGGTCCAAGCATTATAGTTATGCTAATATGGTGAAAATATCACAAAATGAACATGATGCTCTGCAATCGCTCTAAGAACTTCACTTTTTCTCAAGAAATCCAAAGTTCTTGCATAAACAATATCTTGACTAGTTGAACTTACAGTAAATTGGTTGTTAATAATTACTAGAGTCTTGTTATCAAGGTCTTAAGCTAGTGTAGTAGTCAAATGTGGAAGAGGCTCAAATAGATTTAGGTTACCATTCATATTAATATCGTAGAAATTGGCTTTCAATCCATAGTACAGGCACATTTCTTGAATATAGTTAACTTCTTCGATCTTAGTGTTCTCATTTATTACAAAAACAAAATCTTATTCTGGGAAAGGTACATAATGAAAACCAGTTCTAATTTAGTAAGGAAAAGTATGGATGCAAGGGAAAGTAGCAGCTTAGTTTCTAGGATCAGTTAAATAAGATGAAACATTGTAAGTTGCTTTTAGCAAATATCCAACTTATGGAATAGTGATTTAGCATTGAATTACAATGGTAGACATTGGATCTATCATTGGGATTTTAATTACGTATGGATCTTTAAGCGGTTTTTTCTCCCCCTTATAAGATACTAGAATGTCTGTTGTATCAAATTCACCATCACCTGATTATAACCAGAGCTATGCTGGTCTTATCTCACCACCTATTTCCAAGGTTGAGTTATTCTTTAAGGTGATCAAAATTTTTGCTTCTTATCCTGGTGAAAATGTTCTCAAACATTAATATTGAGATAAAGAAAGTGGGTAAGAAATCAAGAGTGGCTTTGGTTGAACAACAATGCTAGGAGGTAAGAATCTATTTATAGAAGGTTTGAAAATTTATACTTGAGCTGTAGTAATCTCTTCTCTTGGTTTGGGGCTTGTTTAAGGCATCAATGGATAGTTGATAAGAAATTCGTGCTTAAATGGAATTGTTATTAAATCCATTGGTGCAATAGCTCTAGGTATTTAAAGAGACCCAATACCAGAAAGCCAGTTATTATCAACTAAGGAAATGAAGAAATCTGTGTGAATAGGTGTAGGCATAAGTCCAAGATTATGAATAGTTAGCGTTGATATATAAGCTTTTTCACCTGGCTCGATAATTCCATCTTCTTCGTAGAAAATCATTCCAAAATCCACTATTTTAAGGTCGTATTTGTCTTCATACTTTACTGGTCCTGCACCATGCTCAACAATAAACTCAAATTGACCGTCATTACCATCTCTTCCACAATAAAGCTAGGCATTTCCATTATGACCTGAGTTTCCTGGAGGTCCATCAATACCACCTGGATTGGTGTGCCAATGGGTGTGATATTAGGTTTAGGTATTACCATTAGAATCTCTGTATGTTGAGGTAGTAGTTGTTGAATAAGTATACGATGAGCCACCACGTCCTCCTCTTCCACCACATCCACCGTGTCCATTTCTGCCTAATTCACCACCAGGTCCACCCTTTATTTTGATTGGACCAAGGAGCAGTAAAAGATCCATGTCTGATTCTGCAACAATTATTTACACAAATCCTCCTTTGCCTCCATGTCCACCACTTGACCCATTACCACCATTTCCTCCGTTTCCTCCAGAGCCTCCATTAGTTCCATTTGTAAACCTCGTGGCATCCATTCCATCATGCCCGGGCCTTCCATCATGACCATTTCCTCCATAGCCTCCGCGGCCTCCTTTTCCTCCTCTGGCATCTATGTTAAGAAAGCCGTTTGGTCCAAGCTCAAAAACTTGATTGAAAGGCTGACTGTGAATTGTTCCTGAAACCAGAATTGCTGATTGACTTTCAAGAACTCTTTAAATTCTCAAGTAAGCTTGGCCACCATCTCCACCATCCTAAGCTGGACCAGCATTAGTTCCATTCTCTCCATAGTGAGAACCTGCATATCCGTCTTCACCATCTTAGCCATCAACTCCACTAAGTTTAATTTCTGCCATCTCTGTCGAATAAGATAACTTAAAATATCCTCAATTATTTATTACTATCAGATTCTTATATTAAATATTTAGAGCCCCGATTTTTTAGATCGCTCGCTGTTTAACTCTTGTGGGGTTTTGGGGTTTTGGGGTTTTGGGGTTTTGGGG